AATTATCAAAACTTAGAAGCCACCAAGACACCATTCAGTAGGTGCATGAATAAATAAACTGTAGTACACCTAGACTATGGAATATTATACAGCACCGAAAAGAAATCAGCTACCAAGCTCTAAAAAGATATGGAGGAACCTTAAATGCATATTTCCAAGTGAAAGCACCTAATCAGAAAAAGACTAAATACCGTATTATTCCAACTATATGACATTTTGAAAAACTATGGTGACAGTAAAAAAAAAAAAAAAAAAAAAAAAAAGCTGTTGCCAGGGGTTGTAGGAGTTGGAGAGAAATGAATAGGTGAAGCATGAGATTTTTAGAGCAGTGAAAATACTCTGTGTGATACTATAATGGTGGACACATGCCATACATTTGTCCAGACCCACAGGATATACAGCACCAAGAGTGAACCCTAAACTATGGACTTTAGGTGATAATGATGTGTCAGTGTAGGTTCATTGACTGTAATAAATATGCCACTTGGGTGGCAGTCATTGATAAGGAGAAGCTCTGCATGCGTGGGGCAGGGAGACATGGGAAATCTCTGTATATTTCTTTCAATTTTTCTGTGACTTAAAAACTTCTCTAAGAATATAAAGTCTTCAAAAAACTTCAGGCCCTATTATGGTAAGATACATAGTCATAAAAGTGGTTAAGATGGTAAATTTTATGCTATGTGTATTTTTAATACAATACAATAAAAATAAAATCTAAAACTTAGAAGAAAAAAAAAACCCTGGAAGCAGAGTCAGAGGTCCCACCTCTGAAAAGACCCATGACAAGTAGATAGTTAATCCAAAAGAGGTGCTGCCCCAGGAGCTGCCCCTGAGTGGGGTGTGCAGGTAGGAGAGACCAGTGAGGTAGGACCCAGAAGCCACCAGGTAGCTGGGACACGAGCAGAGAGGCAGCACTTAGAGGTACACATTTCTAGGCCCATAATTGATCTGACAAGCTGCTGCCTGCAGAAAGGAATGGAGCCATGTAGGGGGTGCTCATGTCAGTAGGGGCTGGGAGATGCTCATGCTAAGGCAGAGAAGGAACAAGGCTGGACCGCAGTCAACACAGAGTGGGATGGCTCGGTGGGTCTCACAGGAAACAAAGTGCTGTGACACGAACAAAAATGAGAGTGGCAAGCTTGGAGACCACAGGCGAGATCGGCATGTAAAGTGTTAACTTCTCACGCATCAGAAGTGGTGGCTGGGAGCAAGTCTGCCCTTGCAGAGAGGAGTACTTGATCATTGGCAATATTAAGAATTGTTAGTGCATGGTAACATGTAAAAGCCAACTCACTTTTAGTAGAGTTGATTGTTTAAAAAATTTCTACAGATGATGACTCCTGGAACACCTCCTCTTCTTTTCTATTCCATATCCTCCTTTTGCTGGCTAATTTCTAGTCAAATTTCCAAACTCAGTGCAGGCATGTTCTCCTCCTGGATATGTTGCCTGGGCTTCGCATCCTACCTGCCCCCAGTTCACCTCAACCAAGCCAGGGAATCACCTCTTCTCAGCATATACTGACTTAGGAAGGGAAACTGTCTATTTAATTATGATACCAGGTCTTGATCATCTCTGCATCCTCAGAACCTAACACTGTGCCTGGCACATGGCAGACATTCAATAAAGGTTTGTTGACTGACGGAATGAATGAATACTGATAAAGAACGCACCCAGGCCAGGCGCGGTGGATCATGCCTGTAATCTCAGCACTTTGAGAGACCAAGGCAGGTGGATCACAAAGTCAGGAGATCAAGACCATCCTAGCCAACATGGTGAAACCCCATCTCTACTAAAAATACAAAAAAACAGCCAGGCATGGCAGCGTGTGCCTGTAGTCCCAGCTACTCAGGAGGCTGAAGCAGGAGAATTGCTTGAACCTGGGAGATGGAGGTTGCAGTGAGCCAAGATAGTATCACTGCACTCCAGCCTGAGTGACAGAGCGAGACTCCATCTCAAAACAACAACAACAACAACAACAGAAACAAAAAAAACAAAAACAAAAAAACACAACAAACAAACAGAAAAACAAAAAACCCACCCAAATGATACCTTCAACCCCAAGGTAGCCTAGGATTAGCAGAAAACATCTTAGGTGAAAGCCTTTTCCAGCAGCCACCCCCTGTCCTGTTACCACACATTTTGGATTGAATGTAGCATAGGACAGTTTGAGTAGTTAAAAGTTGATTAGAAGCCATTACATTAAGGGCATAAAGTCTTGAAAAGCAATGCCTGCTGCCAGAATGTTTGGAGGAAAACAGCAGTGTGCTTTTCTTTTGAAAGATTTTTTAAGAATACCACATCATTATATACAATGAGTCAGTTAAATAAATTGTTTAGCTGACCTTTTCATTCTGGTTACAAACGAAGGGTGTTATATACCAAGTAGCTAGGGAATAGCCTCTAAGGAGGTTGGTAGACTTTTGTTTTAAAAACCCAAGACCGATGTTTGCATTATTAGGCATATTATTTTCACCAGTTTTATAAATCATTATTTTCAACTCATAACCCTGGCTTATGATCCAAACAAAAAGTGATTTGTGGAGTGGGAAAAAGAAGAAAATAAAAGCGAATTAATGAACTATAGAGTTAGTTATTTCCTGCCACTTCAATGTTGGTAAAAACTGCTCTATTTACTCACTCAAAGGAAATATCCGTTCTCAAAATTCAGACAGTGAGTGGGCCCTGCAGAGAAGCATTCACCTTTTTGAACTCTTGGGGTCCTTGTACAGACCATTTAATAGAGGAGGAGTGAGCGAACACAGGGAGGGTTGCTGAATGGGAGAGAGGAAGTACTGGGGTGGAGTTCTTGCAGAATTTGTTTGGGGAAAATAAATAGAGAATGGAAGAGCATGGGGCCACGAATGTGAAAGTCACCAAAAATGCAGAAGTCAGATCACCCCCATTGTCAGCAACGATGTGAGAGAAACAGAAATCCTCACACATCACAGGTGGGTGTGTAAAGGCTGGCAACCATTTTAGAAAACAGACTGTCATTACGTAGTAACCCAACCTGTGCCGTGACCTGCAATTCCCAGGTAGGTATATATCCCAGAGAAGTTCTAGAACATGTGCCCAGGAGCCATGTACTTTACAAGGATGTACCCCAGAGGCATTCAGCATAGCAAAAACAAAACAAAATAAAATAGTGGAAACTATCCACAGGTCCATCAGTAGTAGAGTGGATAAAAAATTGTGGTGAATTCATACAGTGGACACAATAGAGCAGCGAGCTACGATTCTGTCCTCTGACGTGGCTGAACCACAAAAACGTAAGGTTGAATGATAAACGCAGGTTACAAAAGAACTTACACAGCAGGATTCCATTTGCATAAAGATCAAAAACTGGCAAAGCTAAGCAATGTATAATTTAGGGGTACATATGCACAATTCAAAACTATTCAAGTAAACTCAGGGAATGGTTATTACACGGTTATCAACCCATCAGCACTTCACAGACAGCAATCAATCAAGCTGGAGCCAGGTCTTGCAGAAGTCCCCCTCCACTCCCAAACTTCTAGGTACTAACTCCTTAGCTGCTGAATCATTGGGAGGAGGCAGGTGGGGGCAGGGAAGGGTCCAGGTAGGTGGGGTGGAGGGATGGAGGACTCAGGACAGTATGTATTTTCCAACCTGTACAGAAGTATTTAAATACTTTGACAACTGGCATGGCCATTATAAACCCGGCCCACTGTATTTATGAGTTTCATATCCATGGATTCAACCAACCACAGATCAAAAATATTTGAAAAAGCAATGGATGGCTATGTCTGCCCTGAACGTGTATAGACGTTTTTCGTTGTCATTATTTCTTAAACTATACAGTATGACGACTATTTACATAGTGTTTACATTATATCAGCATTACAAGAGATGATTTGAAGTATACAGGAGAATGTGCATAGGTTATATGCAAATACTATGCTATTTTATTTTTTCTATTTTTAGAGACAGGGTCTCACTTTGTCACCCAGGCTGGAGTGTAGTGGTGTGATCACAGCCCATTGCAGCCTCAAACTCCTGGACCCTAGCGATCCTCCTGCCTCAACATCCCGAGTAGCTGGGGTTACAGGCACACACTACCATACCTGGCTAACTTTTTAATTTTTATTTTGTAGAGATGGGATCTCTTTTTATTGTTCGGGCTGGTCTCATAGTCCTGAGCTCAAGTGATCCTCCTGCCTCAGCCTCCTACATTGCTTGGATAACAGGTGTGAGCCACCAAGCCCAGCCTATGCCATTTGATAGAAGGGACTTGAGTATCCATGGACTTTGCAGGGGGTCCTGGAACCAATCAATCCTCTATGGATATCAAAGGGCAACTATATATCAATGTCTAACAGCTCAATATCCATCTAGGGACAGACAGCACCATGCCTGGTAGCAGACATTCAGTATTTACTGAAAGAACAAGATGCTCCTTTAATTACATTGGAATCATTCACCATTTTCCCAAAAAGAAGGAGAGAATCTGAGCCTTAGCTTCTGTGGTGAAATTCTGTTGTCTTTGCCTTTATCTCAAAACAGATTGGTTAGTGGATGGGTATATAATCCAGATTGGTCTGATAAGCCTCAGTCCTGGGATTTTGCTTGAACGCCCCCAACCCCTCCACCCTCTCCAATCACCCCATCCCCAGGCTAGTGTATGGAGCTTCTGGAGGCTGTCTTGCCCCCATGAAGGGGACCTGTTGAGAATAGTGGAACTGACATATGGGAAGAGTCAGGCTCCTGCAACCTGGTTTAAATCCCTAGACCCAGAGGCACCTGAAGATCTACCTGGTTGGCACCTTTCAGTTAATTGAACCAATAAATTTCCTTTCTTGCTTATGATATTTTGACTCACGTTTGGTTTTTGTTTTGGATTTTTTTTTTTGGCCTTTTACAATGACAAATCCAGTCTATTTCAGGTGGAAGGATGCATTTCCTTTAGGAAAAACACAAGTCTAAGTTTTTATATGAGTATCTCTTAATTTTTTATATTCTATATATTTTGGTAGCTCACCTTTCACCAAGTAGAACATTTGACAGATTTATAAATGAAGGAAAGTCCAGTGAGTTCATGACTGGATAAGCATGAATAGGAATGAGCAAAGTGTCATCTCCCTGAAATTAACCAGAAAAAGTCAAGTTTAACATTCTGAAGACCACAACTTTTAGACAAACCTGTAGATGCTTTATTTCTTCTCGTGTACTATCACTAAGAAATATGTCCTTAAGAAACTTCAGTGCTTAACTACATGAGAAATATTGAGTTTTCTTAGCCATAAACAAAGTATAGAAAATTTTAAGTACTCTTTATTGAAATGAGGTTCACTATTATCCAAAGAAGCCGAAGATAATGATGCCTCCGAGAGATATGAAGACAGTAATCTATCTGCTTCTATTTCAGAAAATTATACAGAAACACAATCTTTAGTGGCCCAAGAAAAAGAGAAACCTGCACAGAATCATCCGATCTGGATAGCACAGAATGGAAGGCAACGCATTGGCAAGAGAGCACAGAAAGCGTCTTCTTGTCTCATATGACGTTAACCTTCAGAAGGACCTCTAACCTCTCCAGGCATAGTTTCTCTCTTTGCAAAATGGAGATAATCACATCTTTCCTTAAAGGCATTTTTAAGACTTAAAGCAGATGATGGCAGTAAAAAGTCAAAAGGATTGCACAAAAGTGAAGTATTATTATTAGCATTATTGGGGAGTAGCAGGAAATGCACCCTGGCAATTTATACAATGCCTGTTCAAGGGATTTTTCTTGTTCAGTGCAGAACATTCCTTCTGGAAGCAAGATTCTGATTTTGTTTTTATTTTAATGGAAACTCCAAAAAATAATAATGGTCTACCCCGCTCCTAAGGAAATGCGCTTCTGGATCTAAAATACGATTGTGGGGATGTTGGGCGTGAGGTTCTTTCCCTCCCTCTGTGGAAATGCAGCTCTACGATGATGTGAGTCAGAGGCAATATGCAATTTATAAGTTAACTTTGCAAATTTTTATGACTTTTTTGGAAAGAAAAAGTGAAATGCTTTCAAGGTAAGTCATCTTATTGTACAGATTGTAAGAAATAAAAGCATTGCTTGAACAGAAAAAAAGTAGAAACTCATTTGTTACTCATGTATACTTTCTGTTTTGGCTTTGAAATATCAAGAATTTAGTTAACCTAAGGGCTTCTCAAGCTGAAGACTGGGTCTGGACTACGCAGCAAAGCAAGGAGCAGAGAGGACAGCTTTAAGAGAAGGAATGACAGCTGCTCTGGCTGGAGGCCAAAGGATGAATTAGGTGACCTAGGAAGGAGGTCTCAGAAGAACTTAAACAGTTCCCACCTCCCAGAACCACCCCCATCCCCTGCACCAGGGCTGCCTCTGCAGGCAGTCCCAGGCATAGGCCAGTAGCTGGTGTTTATAATCACAATTCGGATGGTTGTTAATTTTTCAACCTACACTTAAGGGAGTATGTTAAAGTTATTTGAAAAGGGCTTCACCAACTGCCAGCACCACATGATAGATGAGGCTTTAGGCACAGGGCAGTGGGAAGCCTGCAGCAGACCGCGTCTCCTGACTCTGTCCAGGTCCTCTGCAGTCTAACGCTTTCCCAGCTGGGGCCATGTTACTGGGCAACAAGCCTTGCATGCCAGTCACACTGGTGACCTGGAGAACACCCGGCATTGGGCCAAGAAAGCTCTCTGTGGTTATTCCATCTCTCTTTCTTCCACCCTGGAGAATATAAATTTTAAACCACCATCAAAATAAAAAGCAATTGTAAGAGACCTACCTTACAGTGAATGCGGATGCAGTCATAGTAGTATCGCCACTCATCTGGAGAAAATGTAACGGTGACCGTGAGGGACAAGCCAGGGACCAGGCGGTGTTCCTGGAAGACAGGTGGGCTCTTGTTGGGACAAACCCTGAACTGCACAGAGAGCAGCAGCAGGGGTGACAACACACCACACACCCATCCCACACAGGCCTGAGACATAGACAACCACAAGCCAGCAAAACACTGTGGGAGGACAGGGAACCAGTGATGCTTACCTTTCTTACATAATCGATCTCAAAGTATTTGGTTTGCGGGGGTAAAACATGAACACTTGTGTCTTCATTGGAAATATTGATCAGGTGCTGGGAGAGAAAAAGAAGTATTTAGAGGAAATACATGACTTTAGTTATTTGCATATTCATCTCATTTATGTAGACTTCATCTATTTCTAAAAGGATTTGAGGAGATATCCTGTATTTTTTAACTTTTTAAAAGATGTGAACTACATCATATACCGTTTAAAGAATAAACACAGCATACACCATTTCAATAATTATAATTAGAAATAAGCTCACTGGCTTAGGTCAGTTTCCAGCAAATGACATTATGGCAGAAGACCAGAACAGAGATCTGTCCTCAAAGCTACTGGGTTGGCTCTGTTTTCCAGCATTCCTGAGTGGTCCCAAGGAAGACAGGAACCTAAACTCCCAAGACTGGAGATCCAGTTAACACCTATGGACAAACAAAGAGAACTGACCCTTCCTCCAACCTGAGTGTGTCAGAGCAAATCCAAATCTATCCACTACCCATTTGAACACGAACGGGGCAGGCTAGAATTCATGACATGATATCTATGTTGTCAAGTGAGTAAAAAATTAGCAATAAGAAGGCTGGGCACAGTGGCTCACACCTGTAACCCCAGCACTTTGGGAGGCTGAGGCAGGCAGATCACCTGAGGTCAGGAGTTTGAGACCAGCCTGGTCAACATGGTGAAATCCTGTCTCCACTAATAATATAAAAATTAGCCAGAGGTGATAGCAGGTGCCTGTAATCCCAGTTACTCGGGAGGCTGGGGCAGGAGAATCACTTGAAACTGGGAGGTGGAGGTTGCAGTGAGCCAAGACAGTACCATTGCATTCCAGCCTAGGCAGCAAGAGCGAAACTCTGCCACAAAAAAAGTACTAAGAAAATACTAGATTATTTTCTTAAAGAATAAAACAACATAGATCCAATTTGTGTCAGTAAAAGATACATTATTTGACTATAGTTTCCCACATCCACCTTTAAAAGATTCTTGATCTGGAATTGTTCATTTGCATCAACAGAGAAATAAGAAACAACAAACTCAAACAAAAATGTAAATTTAGTTAATAGGAGTTCAGGAATAGGAAGAAAATGTTCAGCTTCTGCTTGAGATCTGAAGTGAACTGGAGAATGGTGGAGACTGCAGACCTGAAGAGCTGGGTACAGTGGCTTACGCCTGTAACCCCAGCTACTCAGGAGGCAGAAGTGGGAGGATCACTTGAGCCCAGGAGTTTGAGGCTGCAGTGAGCTGTGATCCACGTGGCAGATGGCAGAGGAGGCAGTCAGCAGACCATAGTGATGGTGCGGGCAGGGATATTTCAACCAAATAATGCCTAAGACAATTCCAGGGGGACATCGTGCCAATGAACTTTTTCAACGAACTTAAAACAACAACGAAACATGACAAATTATAGCAAAAAATGAACAGTTCAGTGTCTACACTTTAGAAAACGAAGTCAACATCCAAAAGACTGACTTCCAAAATAGGAAGATTGTATTAATTTTGTAGTTCTCAATTTTTGGTTGCAAGTACTCATTGCTTCTCAGAATCATCCATGCTCTGTGTCCTGTCAAAGATTTGTCTGAGCCAGGAGGACTGCAGAGGCCATTTTGTGCAATCTTCTTATTTCATGAAGACACAGTGGGTGGCCTGGTACTGTCCATGCTACAGGGTGAGTGGAAGACCAGGGCCTAGAACCCGGTCTCTGGCTCCGGGCTAGGGTTCTTTCTACTACATCCTACTGTCTCACAGTTCAGTGCATCTCAGTGCCCAGCCTGCATTCCCTATCTTGCTTTTTATACTTTATCAGCAGATCAGTTTTATTTTTAGATCGTTATAAATAATATCCTTTCAGGGATAAAATGGCTGTCCTGCCTTTCCATTTATAACTAAAACTGGAAAAAATCATCATCATCCAAAGAAAAAACAAACCTTGGGAAAATGAATAACGTGCTTAGAAAGTGGATGTTAAGTTAATATGAAAAGTTTATATGAAAACATAACAAAACACAGGTAACCCAGCATTACTCTCAGGCAACATAAAAATCGCCTAAAATCCTACCCTGTGTTTCAATTTTGGATCGGTAGACCTCCTAGTCCCTCCAGGATCTCTGTTCCCCTGGGAGCTGACCTTCTGCTGGCCCTGGCGGAGGGGGGGTCCCCGTTTCCTCAGTGCTGCCCCCACAGGGCACCATATTTACTCCAATGTGAAATTCAGCCCCTTCTAAAGTTTTTCAGAACTGCTTCTGGCTCCACAAAAACCCCACAAAACCCATCAACCACACATCGGGTAATCATAAGTTTAACAGCCGTTACTCAGGATTTGTAGGAATTTCCCCAAGAGGGTTCACAGCTCTCTTCGCTCCCAGTCCCATGCTGCTTCAAGCTCCCTTCTGTGTCTCCTCACAAGAGTCTATTCTTCCCCTTGTAGAGGGGACGGCAGAACCTGCCTTCTAGTGAAGGCTTGGCTTGGAGTGGATGGGGGCTAACCTTCAAACACAACACTTCTGCCTGCAAGTTCAGTGCCACAGCTTCTCAGAGAAGGTTCATACGTGAGGGATCTGGGGACAAAATTCAAGCAGCCTCGTAAGTTCTTTTAAAGTGTTTTATTTTTAAATGCATCTTGGTCATGCATTTGCTCTAAAACTTTGCTCTATATTGCATTTCTCTAAAATGTAAGCATAAAATTGATGCTCTAGAAAAACGTACTATGTTTACACCATGGCTTCAATTCCCCCATCCCCACACACTGAGGAGAAGCCATTGGGAATCATGGCCATGATTCTGAGATGCAAGATCTCGCGGGTCTCTAAGGCTGTAATACAATAGGTCTCTAATGTAAACTAATGGAAAAACAAATATTATTATTTGAGAAGGCCAGAAGAAACTGTTCATTTATTTAAGATAAGACTTTTTAGGCTAACAATTTTGTTTTGGGCTGGCAACTGCAACATTGGTTGTCTTGAAGGAAAATGGATGTGGTTTTACTTTGTTTTTTTTTTTTTTTTTTTTGAGACAGTCTCAGTCGGTTGCCAGGCTGGAGTGCAGTGGCACAATCTTGGTCTTACTCCAAACTCTGCCTCCTGGGTTCAAGTGATTCTCCTGCCTCAGCCTCCTGAGTAGCTGGGACTACAGGTGTGTGCCACCATGCCCAGCTATTTTTTTTTTTGTATTTTAGTAGAGATGGGGTTTCACTATGTTGGCCAGAATGGTCTCGATCTCCTGACCTCATGAGCTGCCTGCCTTGGCCTCCCAAAGTGATGGGATTACATGTGTGAGTCACTGTGCCCAGCAGATGGAGTATTAATAATTATTTCCCAGACCAAATCACTCCACAAAGGTAAAAACAAATTTAAGGGGACTTGGTTTTGGGAAAACCAAAGACCCTTATTTCAAATTTTAAGGTAAACTGAAAAACTGATTTCAATATGAATGCAAGCAAAATGTTTCAGATCCTTAATCCGATCTGGATTGATCTCAAATGTTAATGAACAATTTATTGTGGTTTTAAACATACAGTCCGTCATTTCATTCTTGGACAATTTGCAGCTTCCTGTAGCAAAACCAAGATAAAAGCAGGTGTTGGATTCTCCCCCTTGTTTGGCAAGAATTTCAAGGTAATTGCCTTAGGCTTCCGTTTCACTTTGCTGGTAGAAACTGGGGACTGGCCCTCGTAAGATTTCCCAGAATGTTACTGAGATGAAATCACTTTTATCTATTTCTGCTTGATTTAATGTCTGATAGAAGCAGCATGATCACCCAGACTTAACATTGTATTTACTTGGAATTGGTGAGCCTCTGCCATTATTCTAGGAAACTCACAACTCTTATAATAAAGTGAATTCCACATCCTTCACTCACAAGTGCTTGTTGGGTGCCTTCTGCATGTCAGACACTGCACCAGGTGCTGGGGAAGCAGCAACATGAAAGACAGGCATGCCTCCGTTCTGCAGCAGAGTGAAGTTGAGCTCAGGCTTCATATCTTTTTTAATAACTAAACCATACTCCCTTGCTCCCCACGCATTCTCAACAGAGGTGAAATCACACAAGGAAAGGAAGTGAAAATTGATTCTTGGGAGGACAAAGCAATCTTAGACATTGCGATGGCCGCAACCTGCCAAAGCTCAATCCTACCTGACAAAACATTATTCCTTAGTTTTTAGTTTCTCTCACTGATGTCTACCTAGAGGATGCTAATGAAAGAAAGGGTTGAGAACAACATCCATCCTCTAAAATTCCACTCAGTTGATCTTCCTCAAGTGCATCATAACCCTTCTCAAAAATGCTTCCTTAACTTCCTGCTGCTTTCTGAATCACATGCACACTCCTTACATTTATGTTGCTTTCCCAACCCGCATGTCCCACCCTCTCCATTACCCACTCCAGAGCCCTGCCATCCAGGCAAACCAGCCTCCAAATACGCCGTGGCTCAACTCCAGCCCCTGCATGTCTTCCTCTGGGCCCCGAATGCCTTCTCCCCACCTCCTACTTGGTTTTGGGCTATCCCCAATGGCCTCTCCTCCATACGCCTTTTTAACACCCTCCCATGGAGGCGAGAGGGTGCCTTTTCTCCACAGAACATTTTCTTCTGACTTCCTCATGCCACCTTGCTTGCCTAGTCTCATGTTCAAGTTGTTTGGTGGTTTTGAAACCCTTTCTGCTACTTGGAAAACTCCTTGATTTTGTTCACTTTAGCATTTCCCATAATGCTTCAACACTTTTGTCTGGCATATAATGGGGACTCTCACCAACTGTGGGTGGAATTAAACAGAAGAAAACCCTTAACTCTATTAGAAACAAGGTAACATCAACCAGATATTGCAACTTCATTAGAGAAAACAAAATGATATTCTGATAAATGATAAATGATAAAAAGAGAGGAATTAAAGAAATAAGTAGTAAAGTATGCAATAATATGATTAAAATTATGAGAAGGCTAAAATAATTTTAAGTTTAGTAACATTATTGGAATCACTAACATTATGCTAAGCAAAAAAAATAAAAGAGGCCAGTTTCAAAAAGCTATGTTGTGACCCAAAAGTGTTATATTGTTAATTTTTTTTGGAATAGCAACTTTTAAACTTAACAGTTAATTATTAACTTTAATAGTTGCCACCCTGTAAGAAAAAAACCTCAATATTTCTTGAAACTACGGGACTCTTAGCAAGCTAATTATGACTACATAATTTTGAGGAGAGTCTATTTTAAGGAGGGTGAGCCCTCCTTTTCTGAACCCACACAGATGGAAAATATCCTAAGGCTAGTAGTAAAAGTTATAAAACATTTATTATAAAAAAGAACTGTGACTTAATATTCTTAAGGTTGCAGTATTCCTCAAACTAATCTATAGATTCAATGCAATTCCCATCAAAATCCCAAAAATATTTTTGCAGAAATTGAAAACTGATGCTAAAATTAATTTGGAATTGCAAGGAACCCAGAATAGCCAACATGGTCTTGAAAAAGAACAAAACTGGAGAACTCCCACTTCCTGATTTCAAAACCTACCACAAGCTGCAGTAATCAAGTGTGGTACTTCCTTAAGTGTAGGCATATAGATCAATGGAGTAGAACTGAGGGTTCAGAAATAAACCCTTGCCGGGCGCGGTGGCTCAACCCTGTAATCCCAGCACTTTGGGAGGCCGAGGCGGGTGGATCACGAGGTCAAGAGATCGAGGCCATCCTGGTCAACATAGTGAAACCCCGTCTCTACTAAAAATACAAAAAATTAGCTGGGCATGGTGACGCATGTCTGTAGTCCCAGCTACTCAGGAGGCTGAGGCAGGAGAATTGCCTGAACCCAGGAGGTGGAGGTTGCGGTGAGCCGAGATCGCGCCATTGCACTCCAGCCTGGGTAACAAGAGCGAAACTCCGTCTCAAAAAAAAAAAAAAAAAAGAAATAAATCATTTAAAATAAATCGATTTTCAGCAACAGTGTCAAGACTATTCAATGGGGAAAGAATAGTCATTTCAATAAGTAACAGTAGAACATGCAAAAGATTGAAATTGAACCCCTACCTCACACAATACATAAAAATTAACTCAAAATAAACTATAGGCCTAAATATAAAAGCTAAAGCTATAAAACTCTTAGAAGAAAATACAGGAGTAAGGCTTTATGACTTTGTTGTTAGTTATTTCTTTAATATCCTAAATTTGTGGTAATTTGTTATGGTAGCTACAGAAAGCTAATAAACCGTACAACCCAGCGATGCTCCTCCTATGTATATCTCTAAGAGAACTGAAAATACATCCACAAAAGCAAGCCAAATGTGATCTATCCACATGATGGAATGCTGTTCAGCCATAAAAGCGGATGAGGTACTGCTACATGCTATAGGTTGGATGAGCCTGGAAAACACTATGCTAAGTGAACTAAGTCAGTCACAAGAGATCATGTATTGTATGACTGCATTCATATGAAATGTCCAGGAAGAGGCAAACGTATAGAGACAGAAACTGGATGAGTGATTGCCCCGGGTGGGAGTGGGATGGGAATGGGGGATGAGAAATGACTGAAAGTGGATGTGGGCTTTCTTTTCACAACAATACAATGTTCTCAACTTAGATTGTGGCAATGGTTGCACAACTCTGAGAATATACTAAAAATTATTGAATTGTATATATACTGTAAATGGGTAAATTTATAGTAATAAATGATAATAAAACAGTAAGAAAAGAAAGAAAGCATAAGGAGCAAGTAATAAAATTTTATTTTAGCTTCTGACATGTATTTCATTTATAAAGAGTGAGCAATAATGAGTCATAATTATTTTAGATCTATCCTACTGCAACACAGACAGCAAACTTCATAACCAGGAACAGTAGATTTCAAAATGAATCATTAACTTTGGTCTTTGATGCTGTGTTGTAAAAAGTGTGACCTTGGAGGTTGATGGGTGAAGTTACTAATAACAGTTTCAAATCCTAACCCTTTTCCTAAGAGGAAATACTTGGCACCTAACAGCTTCCTCCCCTGATCTATTCTCACTACTTATTTCATTGTGTAAGGATTCATGGAAACCGTGTTCTCCTCTGTTCTTTGGGGTCTGCCTGACAGAAATTTCCTTCCCAATAGCTTTACTGTTTGTCAGTTTCCTCCAGGGTTTTGCTTTACTCTAAACAATCGAACGTGATACTTAGAACTTTCTTAAAATGATCTACCTTAAGATACGGCTTTTAAGAATGCTCTACTCTAAAAGTAGAGTCTTGTGGTGGCTGAGGACAGGGCCAGCAGGGGGGCATCACACACAAGGGCAGAGTCTCAGAGGGTGCATGTAAAGAGAGCCCACCTTCACCCCTCCCCAACAACACATGGGGCCAGGGTGGCCCGGATCTAGGGCCCAGCTGGAGTAGTTCTGAGAAGTCCTGCCAGACATGACTAGGGGATCATGGTGAAGTCACTGAGGTGGTTCAGGTCCATTTATGCACAGGATGCTTAGGTGGGACCATGTAATATGGCAGAGCCCACCCCAGTCAACATCTAGGTCAATGAAGGGGACCCAGGAAGGGCTGGGCCTCAGTGTGGCTCTGTGCTAAACCGCAGTTGCTATAGGTTTTGGCTACTTTGCAGTCCAGCCTTTCAGCTGTCTTTTCAGGAGTCTGTTCATTGGGGCTGACCCCTACTGCCCTGGACTTAGACAAATCCTCTCTGGCCAGAGTGACTGATTAGGCATGAGCATCTGACCCAAGCAGGTAAAAGAAAGCCCTGGCTGGAGCTACATAGGAAAGGGACACCCCTCTTCCTGGTGCTACAGGACTGGAGCAAGAGTCATCTGAAGAAAGGCAGCCCAAGAGCCAAATTCTGCCTGACACTTAGCAGCTCTGTGTCCTTGAATAAATTATTTAACCTTTTGGAATATCTGTTTCCTTATCTGTCTGTCTGTCTATCTATCTATCTATCTATCTATCTATCTATCTATCTATCTATCTATCTATAATGAGAGCAATAATGCAGCCTCCACAGAGCTAGCATAGGATGAAATTAAATCATGTAAATCACAAAGCACAGAACCTGGTCCCTAAGACTCACTCAGCAATGACACCTATTTGGAAAGAGTATAGGGGGAGCCTTTAGCAGAAGGTAAAATAACTTGTCCAAGACACTGATGCAACCTTAAAGTTTCTCATCATAGAACTACCTTTCTGGCCCAATTTATACTTGCACTATGGCTGATTATGCTGTTACTTAGATAAGTGAATAATATAAATGCAGAACATTTGTGTCATTTCATTATGATGATTAATTATCCCATTTAAAAAGTACCTACCAGAATCTGTTGGTGTTGTTTTTCTACTTGATAGCCTCCAAAATGTATTATGCCAGGTTTTGCCTGTATGACCTTATTTTTTACAAGTTTCGCATAAACTTCTATAAAAACAATGTAGATAAGCACATCATGAGATATCAAAGAAAATATTAAATTACAGTTGATCCTTATTAACATAGCTTTCTTTGATTTAGGGCATTTGAAGCATATGAAAGTTACAGATATTGAATCTAGCTGTCAACAAGATTAATTATCTGTTCTAAATAAACTGAACTCCTTCTCTATTTTTAAACATTACTTAGGAGATACTCTCATTACAATACAAATTCAGGTAGACTGTCTGTTACCTACTAAAATAATTTGCTCTTCACACGTTTTGTACATGTCTTTGTCATAAAATGTCAGCTCATAAAAAGCATATGACCTGTCTTTGCTCTGCCTAGCACTGGATGACCTATTACATAATGAATACGCAACTCAAAGTATCCAAACACCACACACTTAATTTGGTTACTGTGTATCTAACTTTTATTATTTCATTTCCTCTGATTAGAATTATAATGTGATGTAGAGTAATATTAAAACTTAAAGCTCTGAATAGTTATTACTCTCAACAGTAAGTCTCAGCTGCTTTTGGTGTAATGTTAATGTCCCTTTTAAACAGCTGAGCTTACAAAAGTGTTCAGGTCTACAAAAATTTTCCCAGCTCTTATTGAGGCAGGAGCAGACATGTGGAGGAGATACTGAGAACCCACTATATGGAAGTGCTTTGTGCTAGGAAGTGCTATGCATACATTTGTTTATAATCCTCACTCCAGTCCTATGAGGTAGGTATTATTTTTACTTTACAGATGAAGGAGGTATGACTTAACAAGGTTAAGCAACTTACCCACAGCTGGTAATCAAAAATCAAAGCCAGGCATGGTGGCTTACACCTGTAATCCCAGCATTTTGGGAGGCTGAGATAGGAGGATCACTTGAGCAGAGGAGTTGGAGACCAGCTTAGGCAACAGAGTGAGCTCACATCTCTATAAAAAATTTTAAAATTAGCTGGGTGTGGTGGTGTGCACTTGTGGTCCCAGCTACATGGGAGGCTGAGCTGCAAGGATCACCTGAGCCCAGGAGATGGAGGCTGTAGTGAGCTGTGATTGTACTACTGTTCTCCAGCCTGGACAACAGAACAATACTCTGTCTCAAGAAAACAAAAAAAACAAAACAAAAAACAACAAAAACCAAAAATCAAGCCCAGGTCTGTCTGATTCCAACCAGTAATCTGCCTTCCTTATGAATGTACTGTCCACCTTCTTACAAATAACCTTTTGACTCTGACTACATCAAATCTTGTGAGGCACAGACCCCTCACCCCATCCCTTTGATCATTATGATTCTAGGATACATCTGAAGTGGTTGGGAAACATTTGGTGTTTTTTTCTTCTCGCCAGGTGAGCTGTCACTGACATTAACTTGCACCAAACTGAACAGCTAGAATGGGTTAAGGTTGGTGTGGCAGGGGCATTGATAATCTCTACAGGTTATTATTTGGTCATCTTTAAGCACCGAAATTACCATATTCTGTAATTTTTAAATTATTTATTCATTTGAGAGGGAGGGTCTCGCTCTATAGCCCAGGCTGGAGTAGCATAATATTGGCTCACTGCAACCTCAGCCTCCTGGGTTCAAGTGATTCTCCTGCCTCAGCCTCCCAAGTAGCTGAGATTACAGGTGCCTGCTACCACATCTGGCTAATTTTAGTATTTTTGTAGAGTTGGGGTTTCACCATGTTGGCTAGGCTGGTCTCAAACTCCTGATCTCAAATGATCCAACTGCTTTGGCCTCCCAAAATGCTGGGATTACAGGCATGAGCCACTGCACGCAGCCTATTCTGTAATTTTTTTAAAAAATGTTTAAAGATTTTATTTTAGAGCCATGAAGTAGATATAAAACTGGCATTTTTCTGCTAATGCTCAGAAATGGTCAAGTATACCAATTTTCACTTGACACGTTCTACAGTGACAAAAGAACCATATCCAAATACAATATTATGTTCTCACATTTGAGATGTGCTTTGAAAGATGAGTGGAAGGCAACCAAGCATGTTGGTCAAGAGCTGGACCCAGGGCTCTGGTGGCTGAACACCAGCTCACCACCTACTAGGTGTACCATGTTGGGGAAATCATGTGGTCTCTTTGAGTTTCGCCTTCTTCAAGAGTAAAATGTAAATAAATAAAGAGCTGGGAAAATTCCTGTAGACCTGGACACTTTTGTGAGCTCAGCCATTTGAAAGGGACATTGACATCATACCAAAAGCAGTTTGAGACTTACCGTTCAGAGTGATAAATCTTCAGAACTTTAAGTTTTAATATTACTCTATATCACATTGTTTTTCTAATTAGAGGAAATCAAATAGTAAAAGTTAAATAAACAGTAGGAGTATTCTGTAATACCTCATGACATACTGTTGTGTGGATTGAATGGGAAAAATGTCGGCAAAATAGTTATCCTTTTCCATAATAGCTATAGGATTTCCCAGGCTTTCTAGGCCACACGATACGTGCATGAAAAGGCAGAAAGGTCTAAAATGTGTGTGGTCCAAAGATAGGAAAGATCTCACGTAGCCAGATCTAGAAATGAGTGGGGCATGGCAATGGGGATGGTGCTGGGTGGGCAGATTCAGATCAGACAGTGAAGGGTGTCAAGCAAAGGAATTGTGACTTTATTCTGCATGCAAAGGGGACTGTTGGGAGTTTGAGCAGATTAGGGATAAGAGCCAGCCAGGATTTTGGAAAGCAAACTGACAGGAGGAGACTGTGGCTGGGGAGGAGTCCCAGTGGCCTGCTGAACAGGAGAAACAAGACAGGGGGAGCAGACGGGAAAGACATTAGAGGAAGTAGAAGCAACAGAACTTGATGAATTTACATAACCACAAAAATCTACCAGTTAGGCAGATGGATCTAAGCAGAACTACTGTTCTTAGTAGTAAAAATTAGTAGAAGCCTATAAAATGAGATAGCTAAATCAGCTCTAAAAATTCTATTATGCTTTCCGGAAGATGTGAGTTGTAAATCAAACCTGTCTTCTAGACACTTACTTGATTCCAGGAGGTGATTAGGTACTTCTCTTCTCTTCTTGGGCTCCTCCACTAGGTTCTTCAAGAGGTGGGGCGATGCATTATTAAAGGGTTCTTTAGCATTTTTCAGTCCTCTGCTGGGGGTTTTCACCACTGCCATTTTATCATGAAAAATGGAATCCTCTTTTTAGAGCCAAAGGTCATGTCCTGGGGAGGAAACAGCAGCAGTATAATCACCCATGAGAAACTATGCACATTTTTTTCTCTTTCTTTGATAAATGCACCTCGTCTCTGTTTGCTTTACTGTGGCTCATGCCCTCCCTGTCTCTCCTCTCACTCCATTCCCACACATGGCTGCCCCATTAATCTTCTTACTTAACCCATCACAACCCAATGTTGTGCCACTGCTCCAAACCCTTTTGTGGTCCTTGATTCTCCCCAAGAGCTCTTACTGAAATGTATGTCTGAGATGCTTCTTGAGCTCATTGCAGGGGCTCTAGAAGGGAAAAATAAAGGCTCTCAGTCAAACAAGTCTGGAAAATAATGATGTAAACATAAAGTAAGACTCTTCTTTGAGAGATTTCTCCAAATGAGTTTCTTAGACTATGTGACTATGGAAGCCTTTAACACGTGGAGGCACTGATGACACAACACTGGCATTTCAGAGTCACCTTCCTCCATCCCTCTGCTAACAGCGTGATGAGGGGGTGATGAGGAGGGGGTGATGAGAAGGTGGTGAAGCCTAAGGCAGTCCAGGCACATAGACATGGGGACATTCCAGGAGCTCTGTGAATCTCAGTTCATGCTAAACCCTGTGTCCCCACCTGCCTTCCATTAACACACTCATCTTAAGTTCCACTTTCTTCATGAAGTTGATGGCGATACCAACACATAAAGAATGTTAATTCTTTAGCAATCACTGCTTCTACTACTCATTTGGTGTTAATAATTTATTGCCCTCTAACAACAGTTTACATCTCACATTCCTTTATATATTCCACAACTAAATCTCTTAACTTGGGGCCCTTGTGCAGGCCATGGGGCTGGTCGGTGAAGCCCCTGAAATGGAATGTTAAATAGTGTGGATCATTGTGTGTTTTTTTGGCCCACAGCATCAGACTCCAGAGAAGACAGACAGCATCTCGCAGCATGCAGTGAATCTCGGGAAGGAGGCGCTTAACCATCACTTTCAGCATGAAGTTTCCCCCTCCCCTCCCCTCGCACCACTTTTCCTACATCTCTGAAGGCTGCAGGGCCCCTCCTCACCTGCTCCCCTTCCCTTCAGCCCTTCTACGCCGCCCCAGGCTCACCCTACAGCCCAGCTCCTCCCAAAGCCTCACATCCCCTGTGCTTCAGGCAGGCCCAGGAGTTAGGCCGTCTCCACGCCGCCCACACGCCAGCTCGCCCACCGCCAGGTAAGCCTGGATACGGGTCGCACCCCAGCACCCTCGTCCCCTCGCCCCATCCTCTACCCTGCAGGCGCTCTCACCCCGGCCAAGCGCCTCCTTCCCTCCGCGACCTTTCACCCCACGCCTGCTAAGGCCCGCGCACCGCCCCCTATCCTTCTGTCACCCTCTGGGCCCGGCCTCTCCTCGGACCCCGGCCGCGGCCGACTTGCGGCTGGACATCCTGCGGGGCTCGGCCGCCTCAGGAGCTCAGCTGCAGCGCCCCCGTGGCCGACCCTGAGCCACCCGGCCCCAGGTCCCAGGCCGCTCACCGTGGGGGTAGTTCCCGGGCGGGATTCTGCTGGCGCCAGCGCCGGCTCCTACCGTCGCCATGGCGACGCGGACGCGCTCCCAGGGCTAGAGGCCGGGCGCGACCAAACGCCCTAGGGCGGGGGGAGCCGGGAGGCTGCGGGCCAGAACCAGAGGCGGCGGGTGACTTCTGGGAGCTCGGAGCAGTTTACCTGGTCTGGCGATGAATCAATAGCGCGACTTATGGCTTGGGAGGCGAATGGATTCCCGAGGGGACGTGAGAAAGTTGCAAACACCACACACTGGTACCCTGCAAGAGCGCAGCACGGGAGCGAGGACGGACGGGGCGGAGCCGCGCGCGCCAGTGGGCGGGGCTTCACCTGACAGGCATCACTCAAGACGCCACTTTCTTGCAGTTTGTTTTACATTTTCTGTTACAGTAAATTTCAGACACAAGCAAAGGCTGACCTAATGGTAAAATAGACCTCCAACACCCAGCTGCAACGATGATCAAATCCTGGCCACACCCGTGGCATTCGTATCTTTCCCTGACTCCTTGTATTATTTTGAAGAAAATCCCAGATATCATTTCATCCATACATATTTCAAAATATATCTCCAAAAGATAGGGATTCTTAAAAAAAAGTAACCGAATTACATTAAAAAATGATAATTTATTAACATCTTCAAATATCCAGTACTCAATTGTCTGATGTCATATTTATTTTTAGAATTTGCAAGTTTGAATCAGAATTCAAATGCAATTTACACGTTGGAATAGATTGATGTATCTTTTAGGTCTCTTTTCATCAACAGATTCTTCCTCCATCTCTTTTTTACTTGGTGCAAATGTATTCATTGAAGAAGCCGTGTCTGTCCTGGATACTGATATTTAGGGGTTGTAAACATGAAACCGCCCTTGCTCCCCCGACCTCCTAACCTGTCCATTCCACCCTGCTCATCCATGAACATTATTTTTTTTCAAAGACAGCTCAGACTTCTCTTTTCCCAGGAGCTGTCCTTATCTCACTCCCTCCTTGTCCGGCTTTGATACTTACTTGATGTTATTTGTGGCTTCATGCTGATGATATAGTAAGAGTCCAGTCTTGCCTACATTGCCACTTGTGCTGGATGCATATATTCCTTCGCTGCTCTTTCCCAATGGGAAATGTTCATTTTTTCCATCTTCCCATTCTTCAATTCCTCTCTGTCCTCCACCAGTATTACTAAAAACCTTCCCATCTTTCAAGGCTAGCTCTAGATAAGGTTTCCTCCCCACTCTCCTCCTAACCCTCCAATCCCGAAGGACTCTTTTCCTCCTCTGGGCTTCTGTAACACTTTGTTCCACCATCTTTATCTCTTTCTGTATTGCACCCAACATGATTCGTGTCTGTGACTGAAACTGCAGAATTCTTAGGGGAGGGAACTGTACTTTGTCACTTTGTCTTAGGATCCTCCCAAATTGTTTTTTTTTGTTTTGTTTTGTTTTGTTTTTTTCCTTTCTTTGAGACGGAGTTATGCTCCTGTTGCCCAGGCTGGAGTGCAGTGGCGCAATCTCAGCTCACTGCAACCTCCGTCTCCCAGGTTCAAGCAATTCTCCTACCTCAGCCTCCCAAGTTGCTGGGATTACAAGCGCCTGCCACCACGCCTGGTAAATTTTTTGTATTTTTAGTAGAGACGGGGTTTCGCCATGTTGACCAAGCTGGTCTCAAACTCCTGACCTCAGGTGATCCAAAAATGCTGGGATTACAGGCGTGAGCCACCGCGCCCGGCTACCTTGATACAATTCTTTGTCCATATTGATTACTCAGTAACTGTTGGCCAAGGGGTGAAACAACTCATTTGTTTATAGAGTAGGTCGCTTTAGTTCTTTCTGTTTTGTTGCCCCAAGGCTGCAGATTTCAGAACAGGTACTATGTTTCCCACAGTCCCAGACCTCTCCATCCAGCGCAAATCATGAGGTATTTGTTTTCATATACTTCGTTTTATTTTTTATACAGATGGGAATCTTGCTGTGTTACCACGGCTGGGTTTGAACTCCTGGCCTCAAGCAATTTTCCTGCCTTAGATTCCATATGCTTCTTAATGGATATTTGGTAACACTTTTTAATTTGTACTTAATTTTTTTTAAGAAAAATTACCAAATTTCCTATTGTATATAGATAACCCGTAGGTCTCTATATAAGCAGTTAACCCAATTGAATATTATAGTGTAGTGGACACTGCTGGTTGCCTACTTCCACTTGTTTTCTAATGGAACCACAGCTTTACTTAAATTTCTCCCCATTTCCCAGTTCTAAAGGTAGACCCTGATTAATCTAGGCCAGGCCAGACGTGGTGGCTCATGCCTGTAATCCCCAGCACTTTGGGATGCTGAGGCAGAGGATTACTTGAGCCTAGGAGTTTGAGACAAGGCAGTGTAACATAGCGAAACCTGATCTCTAAAAAAAAATTTTAAAAATTAGCCCTATGTGGTGGCTCATACCTGTAGTTTTAGCTACATAGGAGGCTGAGGTGGGAGGATTGCTTGAGCACAGGAGTTGGAGGCTGCAGTGAGCTATGATGATGCCACTGCACTCCAGCCTGGGTGACAGAGAGAGACCCTGTGTCAAAACAAAACAAAACAAAGCAAAGCAATCCAGGCCAATCATGGAATTCCCAATCCCTTTCCCACATTGCCCATGACTTAGTAAGGACTGGGTATGTAGCCCCATTCTGGTCATAGGGACAGGAAAATATTTCTGGGGACCTCTGGAAAAGACTTTCTTTCGCCTAAGAAAGACACACATAGACACGGTAGCTTTCTCCTTCTGGACTTCTTAGTGTCAGGAAGTGATTATTCCATCAGAGACCATGAGGAGTCTGAGTGTTTAAGAGGCGACAAGGACAGGAGAACAAGGAGACAGAAAGACCCTGGGCCTGGATAATATCATTTCACTTCTATTTGTTTGGTCCTTGCCTTTCATTTTCTCTTTCTTCCATCTGTCACATAATGACTTCTGGACACTTACTTCTCAAGGTGTAAACTGTGGCACAGGCGTTTGTCAAGAATGCAGAGTTTTGGGCTATACCAGACCTTGTTCAGGCTACTCAACCGAAACCTGCATTTTAATAAGATGCCCCAGGAGATTCATAGGCACATTAAAGTTTGAGAATCATTAAACTGATGGTGCCCTACAGTTATAGCTGTTTTAGATAATCAATTATTAATCCATTTATTTATGTGGTCTACACTTATTTCACTTAGAGTTCACAATAGCAGAACACAAAGGTGTCCCAGCATCTGCCAAATGAGTGCAATGAGACAAGTGTGATAAAAGGCATGGAAGATTTAAGCTTCAATAGTACAGGGCGAGCCATTAATTTCCTTGCTTAAAACTCCTTGGTGGCTTCAAATTGTACAGAAAATAAGATTTAACATCCTTAACACTTTTTTTCCCCCACAGAAACAGGGTTTTTCTCTGTTGCCCAGGTTGGAGTGCAGTGGTGCCATCATAGCTCACCGCAGCCTTGAACTCCTGGCTCAAGTGAGCCTCCCAGAATAGCTAGGACTATAGGTGCATGACACCATGCCTGGCTAATTTTTTAAAAAACTTTTTGTATAGACAAGGTCTCGCTATGTTGGCCAGGCTGGTCTTGAACTCCTGGACTCAAATTATCCTCCTGCCTTAATTCCCGAGTACGCTGGGATTATAAGTGCAAGCCACAGTGGCTGGCAAAAAAATCCATAACACTCTTTTAGAGCTTTGCAGGACCTGGCTGCTGGCCCCTTACTCCACATTCTCCTCCCACTGCTTCATTTTGCTCCCCCACCTCCCCTTTGCCTGGCATAGAGAGTGAAAGCTGGCTGCAAATTCTTTGACACTGCTCCCATGAAGAGGCAGGATCTCTGTCCCCTCCCCTTGAGTCTGGTGGGTCTGTGACTGCTTTAACTGCCCAGTAGAGTCCTACCTGAATTCTTGACACCAGAATTTGTGAAGATATAATAAATGATGTTGGTTCATGACTTTGAGTTTTGGGATAGTAGGTTATTCTGTAGCAACAAAATAACCCGAAACTTGTCTGATTTCTACTAAGGATTTCTTCCTCAGGGAGGCTTTTCCTGGGTTTCTTTCTATATCAGGCCCTGCACCTTGGTACTATCTCCCAGTACTGTGCAGAAAGCAGAAACCGGACCCCTTTCTGACACCTTACACTAAAATTAACTCCAGATGGATTAAAGACTTAAACATAAGACCTAACACCATAAAAACTCTAGAAGAAAACCTAGGCAAAACCATTCAGGACATAGGCATAGGCAAGGACTTCATGACCAAAACACCAAAAGCATTGGCAACAAAAGCCAAAATAGACAAATGGGACCTAATCAAACTCCACAGCTTCTGTACGGCAAAAGAAACAGTCATTAGAATGAATCAGCAACCGACAGAATGGGAAAAAATTTTTGCAGTCTACCCATCTGACAAGGGGCTGATATCCAGAATTTACAAGGAACTAAAACAGATCTACAAGAAAAAAACAAACAAGCCCATTCAAAAATGGGCAAAGGATATGAACAGACACTTTACAAAAGAAGACATACAGGAGGCCAACAGACATAAGAAAAAATGCTCATCATCACTGGTCATTAGAGAAATGCAAATCAAAACAACATTGAGATACCATCTCATGCCAGTTAGAATGGCAACCATTAAAAAATCTGGAGACAACAGATGCTGGAGAGGATGTGGAGAAATAGGAACACTTTTACACTGTTGGTGGGAGTGTAAATTAGTTCAACCATTGTGGAAGACAGTGTGGCAATTCCTCAATGACCTAAAAATAGAAATCCCATTTGACCCAGCAATCCCATTACTGGGTATATATCCAAAGGATTATAAATCGTTCTACTATAAGGACACATGCACACGAATGTTCATTGCAGCACTGTTTACAATAGCAAAGACCTGGAACCAACCCAAATGCCCATCGATGATAGACTGGACAGGGAAAATGTGGTACATATACACCATGGAATATTATGCAGCCATCAAAAATGATGAGTTCGTGTCCTTTGTAGGGACGACATGGATGAACCTGGAAACCATCATTCTCAGCAAACTGACACAAGAGCAGAAAATCAAACACCGCATGTTCTCACTCATAGGCAGGTGTTGAACAATGAGAACACATGGACACGGGGAGGGGAGCACTACACAGAACACATGGACACGTGGAGGGGTCCGTTGGGGGGAAATGGAGGAGGGATGGGGGTGGGGAGGTGGGGAGAGATAGCATGGGGAGAAATGACAGATATAGGTGAGGAGGAGGAAGGCAGC